TCAAATGATAAATTAATTGCCATATCTAAACTTTGTGCCAATTGTTCACCATAACGTATTTCATCTGTTGGTGATTTAATAAGTAAATAAGGAAAAATTCCATGCAAATGAAGACAAACTTTCTTTCCTGTAAAAATAAGAGTCATAAAAAAAGATTTTCCTTGTTTTTTGTTTTGTTATCTTAATTTTTAATAAAGTACCCTCTTCATTCGGTCCGAATATTCGAATGATTGGTACTTGTTTTATCGGATGTCGTAGTTTAGAATATACAGGATCAAATCGTGAATTAACCGATGTTACATAATGATCTGTGAGTACAATTCGTACTGATATCATTATTTAATCTAGTTGATTATTTATAGAAAAAAGAAAATAGAGAAAAAAATTTTATTATATTCTATCCGATTGGATTTTTTTCTTTTCTTATTATCTTTGTTTTTTTTTTTATTAATTTCAAATATCATCCATGAAACAAAAATTTTTATAAAAACAACGGAAACAGAGTTCATCAATATCAATTTCTGTAGCACCCGTTGACTGCTTGTATTTGTTTCCATTTGGATGAATTGATGTATTTTATTTCGATCGTTCACGCATACCTTAATAAAAAAAAAAAAGAAAAACATTAAAAAAAAACAAAGTTTTGTAAAAATTCGTTTTAACTTACGTCTTCTTTTACGTTTCAAACGTCGCATTCGTTTCTTACGCCATTTAGCTCGCATCGTTGCTTAATTGAAGATGCGAAATCTACAGTAAAATGAAAATATAAAAAATAATCAGTAACCCACCGATGAAAAAATGAACATTTTGTTGCATGCTCGGTGAAATATTTTCATTCGTTTCAATATGTAATCGTTTCACCTCCATGTATTTTCAAAACATCTATGCACTTTATAAATGTTTAATTTAACTTTAATTATTTAAATCAAATTTTCTGAAAATTTTAATTAAAAAATCTAATAAATCAAATTGAATTTATTCAAATGAATATAAACTTCATTTGTTCTTTCTTTGTTCGCGGCTGCCGATATCGTTCATTGAAATATCGTCAGATCTAGTTCATTGTTCTGACGTGATTTTCTTTTTTTTTTGTCGTAATTATCAGAGTTCATCGTCATCTTCTAGATCGTTTCGTTCTTTTTTTATTTTTATTTTAAACAAATTTACAATCATGCGTCCATCAATAAAACGTCCATCAGTTATAATACCTCGTCCAACAAAAGCTTCATTAGCTCGTCAATCTAAAATTCGAAATTCTATTCTTGTTGCATCAACAACAACAACAACAAATACATTAAAATCAATACAAAATGAAGATATAAAAAATGAAAATGATTTAACTACAATTGGTCTTATTAAACAACAAGTACGACGTGCAACTACAGTAACAAAAAATAATGCTGTATTTAAACGACGACGTTCATTACATAAATTAGCTGTTATTGTTTCGGGTTCATCATTAGATAGTTCTACTAGTGATGGTGAAAAATTAAAACAAGTTGTAAGTTAAATAATCTTTTTTTGTATTTTAATTAATTATCTTTTTGAAATAGATTGTTGCTTCATTAACTGAAAATGTTAAAAAAATGGATATTGTTGAACAACCAAAAAATAAAAATTTAATTAATAATGATAATAAAGAAAATCGTCAATCAAAACGTCCAATAACAACAACAACAAATGTAATACGTAAAAAACCAATACAAATACCAATACAAGTACTTGATAAATATACTGCTGAAGAAATTATAATTGAAATTATTGAACAAGCTTTAACAAATGATGATTTACATATAGATGATGATGATGAACCTATTGATCCAACATATGCTATGGATTATGTTGCTGATATTATGAATTTATTATATGCATTAGAAAAAAAATATTCTATACAAATAACATTTTTAACAAATCCACCTTCAACAACAGCAACAACATCATTTCCATTAACAACAATGGCTACAATGGCAAATGGTAGTGCTACAAAACCATGGAAACTTACAACAAAACATCGAACTATTGTTGTTGGATGGATTATACAATTATTTTATGCACGATTTCATTTATCACAAGATGCTATGCATCTGTAAGAATCAATATATTTTTTTTTGTTAAGCTGTCTATAATAGTTAAATATAAAATATTATTAGAATTTAGATATACAAAAGTATTTCTGTATGAGTATCTACATAGTCATAAAAATAAGTAAAGCTCGCGCATCGAAGTCTGAAGTTACATCAGTAAACCAGTGGAATATTTGTACGCTTACATAGTAACAAGTTTATTCTTCATATGCTAAGTAATGAACAAAAATATGTCAAAGAGACATTTGTTGTAACAAGTAACATAAAACGAAGTGCATACGCTTGTCAAAAAGTCTGACTCCATATCATTCAGGCAACATCGTTCCAATGAGACCAAGACCAATAGATTTTTATTTGAGAGGGTGTATTGTTACGATTCATGTGTAGGGTTGCCGATATTTTTAGAAGAGGGGAAGAACGAAACTTATAGTGAGGACCCTATTCCAAATTGCTACGACAGTGCCTACTTATTCTTATTTCATTTTTTGTCAGAGAAAAGTAAATGGTATTTCGAAATCCAGTTTCTGTCCAAAGTTACTATGAAAAATTAACAGGAGCCGCCATTCTAATCGAGAATCCGGCTCAGGTGTTCTACCTAGATATGGATGAGATGTTACCGGAACCAATTGTCTTAGACCGACGCTTAAATGTACGAAATCTGCCTGTGTACATGAATGCGTGTTCGAAACTATTGAGTCTAGAAATTCGTTGAATTATTTTTCCGTTCGAAGAAATTTTTTTTTTTACAGCATATTCTACAAGAATCGGAACTAAAAACAACTCATGAGAATCTCTTTTGATAAAGTTAATAAATATTTTTTTTTTAGTTGTATCGGTTTACTTGATCGTTTTCTTCAACAGTGTATGAATTCAGCAACAGCTGGTAGTGGATTTGTTACACAAAAAAATTTACAATTAATTGCTGTAGCTGCATTTCTTATTGCAGCTAAAGTTGAAGTAAATTAAATTATTTAAACTTTCAATATTAAATTCTACAAACAAAAAACAAAAAAATTGTTTTTTTTTTTTTTATTATCTAGGAAACACATCATCCACCTGTTGATGAACTTGTATATGTTACTGATCATACATATACAAGTGATCAAGTAAAACGAATGGAAAAAAAAATTCTACTTGAATTACGCTTTGAACTCAATCGACCCACAAGGTAAAAAAAAAAGTTTTTTTTTTTAATATAAAATTAAAAAAACAAAGAATTTCTTTTAGTCTTCAATTTCTTCGTCGTTATTCATTTATATCAAGTGCTGGTGATGAACAACATGCTATTGGAAAATTTCTTATTGATATGTCATTACTTGATGTTTCATGTATTGGTTTGGCTCCGTCACTTATAGCTGCAAGTGCAACATATATAGCACGTTATATTCTTAATCCAAATCAATTATTAACATTTGAACAATATTGGCCGTATGAATTACAAATTCGTTCACCATATAAAACATATGAATCATTATCAAATGGTATAAAAATTTTAGCACAATTTATTGATAAATATTTAATAGGAAATAATTCAAAAGAATGTGAAATACTTATTAAACGTTATGAACATGAACAATTATCACAAGCAAGTTTATATTGTATACAACAACAAACACTTATTCATAAATTAGCAACTGAAGGAATTTAATATCATTTCAAAAATACTTATCTATATATTTCTTTTTCTTTTTTTTTTTCTTTGTTATTATTGTTCTGTTTATTGTCTCTATTGTTCAATCAGCACTGTGCTTTCGAAAAAATGATGGATATATATGTTTGTTATTTATATATATATTTTTTTTCTGTGCAATCGAATGAGATCTAATTCTATCTGGTTTCTTTCCTTTTGTTATTGTTGTTGTGTTAGATTGTTGATCTTTAGATGTATTCATCATTTCTTATTATTTTTTTTGAATTGTATAAGATCATCATATTATCATCTTGATTCTCTTTTCTTTTCTTTCTTTTTTTTGTTCTTTTCTTCTTCGTCTTTGACTTGTGTATGTTCTTCTTTTCTTTTTCTCTTATAATGGAATAGAAAAAAAAACAATAAATTGAATTCAAAGAAATAAATATCTACATATAACATCGAATGAATATTATGTTTTTTTTTTTGTTATCACTTATGAGAGATTTAGGACGTCTAAAACACAATCTAAATTAATTGTGTAGTAAATCTTTTCTATCTATTCACGGTTTAAAATTTTTGAGAATATTCACAATATAAGACAGGTAATATTCTTTTTCTTTATGATGTTTGTGCTACAGATAAAAAATGAAACATAATTCAATTAGTATGAAAATATATTGATGTTAAATATTAAATGTTGATATATATATATATTTGTTAGTCAACTTTCTTTTAAAAAAAAATTCACAATAATCTCATTGTAAAGTTCAGAGATTTGCGTGAAATTTGTCAGAAAGTCATTGGAGATTTCGTAAGAGCATACAAAGAAAATTCCGATTATTGGAAACACTTGTATACAATATCATTTATCATTGTATTTAAATACGTCGCTCCTTAATGACGGAAAGGAGGACGTAAGTTATTTTCTTTTTCTTCGGAAATAGAAAATTGTTATTGATATCTTTAAAATAGTACTTACTAGTTTTGGTTGTTATTGTTGAAATTAATTGCGACGAAAAGAATTGAGTTTATTTCTGACAACAACGTCGACTGTTAAAGTTTTTGTGAATATCAACTTCAATAGACTACCGTATAGAATTAATTTTTATCAGTTAATACTTATAATTCAAATCTCTCAATTTGTACTTTCTAAAAATTTTCGAGACTCCTTAGAAATTTTTGAAAAACTTTCGCATCTTCCAGGAAACTCATCGACCATTCTACAAATCAGAATTGATTACCATTGAATCCCAAATAACAAAAAGTTGAATTATCAGAAAAAAAAGCTACAACGTTATTCTAACAGGCATTATATCAAATATTGTATTCATGATAAGTTAACATTTCAATAAATTTATAAATTCTGAAAATTATAAACATGTTCGATATTAACTGATATCTTATTATTATTATTTTATTTTCTTTTTCAACTTTTTGTATAAAATAAAAATGAATTTCAGTAATAGAACTGATAATATTGTGCCAAAAAATCATAGAATATATGTTGATTCACGGATGTTATATTATAATAATTTCATGCGGAAATCTCTCTTTATATGACTTGATCTTTTATTAAACTATTAAAATAATTTCCACATAAAAAAAAAAGAAAAAAAAAGCTA